CAAACATTTGTTGATTTAATGGACATTGATATCTTTTCCGTTCATGACATTGATGAGATTATGGAAGACCTAGGGTATGCTTCAGTAGGTAAACCACTTTACTATCACTTTCAAAGGCCTTTTTGCGATTTAGATTTTGGGTTATTCGCTTTAGCTAGTGATGAAGATGTTCCTTATTTGGGGAGTTTTGTGGCTAAGCATAAGTTAATTGATGTATATATATAGAGCATGGCAAAACTACTTTGCACACCTATTTAATGTCCCCAACCCACAACTATGCAGACTTTGGAAAATATAAAAAAAAAGACAGAAGATTATAGATCTGTTTTTTGTGGAAATGGTAAGTATCAGGTAAGTGGCCCTTGGATGGACCAGTGCGCGGTGGATGTGGTTCAACAAACATGCTCCTGCAGGAAATGGGAACTCACTGGGATGCCATGCAAACATGTTGTTGCTACTATATGGGAGATGAGGAAGAATAGTAAGGATGTCGGAATACCAGAAACTTGGGTGCATGAGGTATATTGGCTAAAGACTTGGAAACATATGTACTCATTCAAAATTGAGCCCATTAATGGGAGAAGCATGTGGGAAAAGTCTGTGTGTCCAACAACTTTGGTTCCTCCTAAACATCGTGTCACAATAGGTAGACCAAAGAAGAAACGCAGAAAATCAGCTTATGAAATTGATGACATGGTGAAGGGTAATAGTGCATCAAGAGTCCTTCAGTCGGTCACTTGTTCAAAGTGCAACAACATTGGTCATAATGCAAGGAGTTGTAAGGGACAAAGATCTAGTGCTCCTAGTGGTTCTGGTGGTCCTGGTGGTTCTGGTAAGGGAAAAGGAAAAGCTGGTTGAGGGAAAGGGACTTGATCCATTAGTGAAAGTATGTTTTGTTGGTTAATCAGTTCTTTTGGTTAAACTGTGTCCTTTTGGTAAAACTGTGTCCTTATAGTTAATACTTTTGGGTAAATTGTGTTTCTTTTGGTTAATCATTTTGTTGATGTATGAAACTATGTTATGGAAAGTATGGAAACTAAATTACCCTTTATCAAATCCCACTTGTGTTATTGGTTGTTTATGTCAATTGAAAGCATATGTTATTGGTTGTTTTTGTCAATTGTTAGTGTTTACTTTTCCATATAAGTTCCAGAAACACTTAATCAAACACTTTTCCATATAAGTTCCAGAAACACTTAATCAAAATACATGGATCATAGAAGTCAAAATAAGTTCCAGAAACACTTAATCAAACACTTAACCAAAATATTATCAAATTCCCAAATACTTAATCAAAATACATTCCAGAAACACTTCAAATCACATACAACAACCAACTACATGGATCATAGAAGTCAAAATAAGTTCAAAAAAGACATAAACATCCCACATAGCATACTAGTTGGATCTTCTTAAGCACTACAACTTGTAAATAATGATTCCTATGAACATCCAACTTAAAATAATGATTATCTTCAGCAGCCGATTCTCAGCTTCAACTTTGTTCTTAGCCTTCAACAGCCCTGGAATTATCCTAGTACATCGTCCACATCCTTCATCATCAACCCATCCAATAAACTTACATTTAGGTCCCTGTCAAGTTCAAATCCAACAGATTTACAGTCATTGTCACACAAAAGCTTGAGTTAGAATCAAAATGACCTTACCTTCTTTGTGCAGCCATAAAACTTTCTTCCGGGGTTGTCGTCGGTCCATGATGTCAGTAAAAACACTTGGTTGCCCGTGCAGCCATTTTCTTCCGGGGTTGTCGTCGGTCCATGATGTCAGTATAACACTCCCGCAATTACATTTCACCATTGTTGATTTTTTGTCCATTAAAGAAACGAGAGATGAAATGAGAGAACAAACGTAGAGGAAGAAAAGGGGGATGCACCGATCTAGGGTTTTTGAAGGGTGAATAAGTAAAATGACGGAAATAACCCTCAACGTGCAAGGCACGTGGGGTTTTAACTCCAAAATCAAACGGAAGGTTAGATGAGGGACCAGGCGTGCACGAAACCAAACTATTAAGGATTGGCAGGGTTAAAAAATGGAGTTAGGGACTAGGCGCGTAACAAACACCAAACCATAGGGACCATTCGTGTAATTTGTCCAGATTTTTAAAATTTTGTAATCTATGAAAATTTTTAAACAACCATAACTCATTATTTTTAAGTCGGATTGACCAGCGGTTTTTTACAACATTTAGTTTACAGTTTGTAGATGGATTTAGACTATAATTTTATTGATTTTGGTATTATATTAAGTGAGTTAGAATCCTTTAAAGTTGAGCTATCAAAGTTGAAATATTTCAACTTTTTAACTATTATTTTAGACTATAATTCTGAATTTTGTATATCTTTGACATATAAATCATATGAAAGGGATCTTGGTGAACTTGATTTATATGTTAGTTGCTTTTATTTGGAAAATTAATTTTGCAAGTTATAATATTACAACATCAAGGTAGATTAGTTATGCATGAAACGGAAACGTAATCATTTTTACAAGTTGTATCGTATCAACCCAATAACATATTCGTTTTAACGATTTCTATCAAACCCAAAAACTTATTTTAACGACCTGTACTCTATGCAATTAAAGTTGTACCGGTCCAAACAGGTCCAAGAACCGGAAAACCCGGACCTGGACCCGAACACGGACACGGACACGACTCATCCGGTCCGGTCCACGGTCCACAATATTCTCCATAACCGGTCCGGTCCAAGAGTCGGTCTGGTCCGGTCCGGTCCGGTTCGGTCCAAATGCTCACCCCTACGGCCCTACCCATGATACAACAGTAGAAAATAATTATTCTAGATTGTATGAACCCTCACTTGGTCGGTGTATACATTAGTTGCAGCAGGAGATGGAAGAAGAATAGAAAACATAAGAGAGAAAGAGAAGATTGATTTTGATTCATTCGGTGTAATCTAAACAGTCAAGGATATTTTCTATATATACTATAAATAGTAATTGGTGTTATTAAACATCAAAACATAACAGTCAACTAAAGGGAATAATTAATCCATAGATCAAAACTGAAATCTATTATTAATAGCCTTTAATTCGGGTTTGTCACTGTTAAACAAAAAGAAAATAACTGCAAAAAGATCCTTTGATTTTTTGGTTGACCAGTGGTGCATTTGTACCCGCAGGACGCGTGTTTGCACACAAGTTCAGTGAACCGAAGTAAAATCGGCTCACGTTTGCACCCTCCTTGTGTGTGCATGCAAGAGAGAGCATTTGATTCTATAAGTCTTACAAGGGTTAAAACCATTGTAGTTATATATACATCTTTTTATCTTTCTCCCACCTATGTGTGATGAAACAAAACCCAATTAACTCATTTGCTAACCTCTTTCAACTACCTCACTTTACCAAGTAATTTCTCATTCATTATTAATCCATTTTGGATGTGTGTTATATCAAAACGAATGTATCCCAAATGAGAACACAAACATATAATCATTTGTCCATTTGGTTACATTTAGAGTTCGGAATTCGTGCTCAGACATCGAAAAAACCCATTTTTTTGGATGTTAATAAAACTAATTTTCCAACAATCCCCACATGAATGAAATTGGTCCTTATTGAAAGAAGTATAAACCAACTCAACAAGAAGGCAACAAAATCATCGGTTTGTTTTGATTGTGTTTTTTGGTTGTTTTACATTTTTGTTTGATTTTCATTACTATATTGTATGATATGAACAATTTAATACATTTTTCTTTTATAACTTCAATACACAAAGCTTGCCCATAAATCTGGATATACTATAGTGACAATATGATTTTTATCTACACCCTCATGTAAGCTTTTATAACAATCTCACATAAATATATGATGCATTTAGAAAAAATATATATACATCTCCTCTCTAAAAGTAAGTAATGTTATGATCTTTACTGTAACATAAATATAATACATCATTCTTCAAATAAGATTAGACTTACTATACAAAATATAATTACTTTAAAAATAAGTTAAACTAATTTTTGGTCATTCTCGTTGAGAAATATATGTTTCTATGAATTGTTTATAATGATATAATCAGTTGTTTTAATACAATCGAAACTCGTCGGATTCAATTATAATTTTTGTTTATATTATACTTCAGGAATGTAAAAATTACACATTAAACAACTTTGTATAAATAGTTATTTTCGATTTCGACTATAAGCATAGCTTCATTGTTGATTTAAACATATACTAACAACTATTTCAACTGTATAATTGCATTAATGTGCAACGCGCAAGATTACGTCTAGTTATGATAAAAGAGAGTCTTCGAGGTGTACAAGTGGGCATCTTAGTCGACCTGGTCTGCCATGCCCAAGAGCCCTGCCCATGTCAAATTCTAGTCAACCATAAACTAACCCATTAAGGCCCACGAGATTTTTCTGGGCTACCCTCGAGCCTAAAAGCTCGGACATTTAAGGGATTTTTTTTTCATGTTTTACGTAACGGCTATATACTTGTATTGGTTTGTTTATTATACTAGTATACTTTAATCAGATTTTTCACTGCGATCAGATTCTAGTGATTTGTGTGTATAAATCTACAAAAGTTGTTTACAGTTCAAATCATAGCATGTTAAAATATTAATAATGGTTTATATGTCAACAACTCAGAGACAGAGAATGACAAGGTGAGGGAAGAGGATGGGCAGTGTGGGATGGAAAATGGTGGAGCCCAAACATAAATTATTAATGATTAAAATAAAATATAACAAATACTCATTAAAATTATGTAATGTTTTATTGCCATTTTACTTATCATACATAACAAAATCATTATTAAAATACCAAAATTTGAAGCAAAGCGTAAATATAACAGTTTTTACTTTTTAGAAACAAAACTGAAAAATTCTAATCTGAGGATCAAAAGTATAATTTACTCAATTATTTCTGTTAATATGGAAAATAAAATAAGCTTTGTTATGTCAATAAAATCGGATATTGTCATAGGTGACATCTTCAAGAGAGTTACGTGGAGTTGGCAGGTCTGTGATTTGTTGTTATATTTTGTATCACTAGGTAGATTAGCCGAAAGGGCTTTTACAACAAAAATCAAAGTATTGTCTCTAGTGCAAATCGTATGGCGATATATACAATGGTAACGGATGCCATCACCCAGTACACTGGACTATCACCGGCGGCGTTTTTCACCATATCGGCGATGATGTTGGTGGTGTATAAAGTTGTCTCCGGCATGTTTGTGGCGGCGGATGACTACATGGCTGTTAAACGTGAACAGGAATACGTACAGCGTGAACCAGTCCAAGTAGGAAACATCACGGAGGACGAATTGAGACCTTACAACGGTTCTGATCCTAGTAAACCCTTATTGATGGCCATTAAAGGAAAGATCTACGATGTTTCTCGCTCCAGGTGACAACGAACCTTCCTAACGCAATTCTATATGTTTTACTCCTCCTTTCCTCAGGTTTTTAGGTTACAAATTTGTACTCATATAGTCATATACCATAGAATTTTAAGTTTGATTCGGTTCACTTACTTGGATAAAATGTTTTATTGCGGGGCAATAGATCGGAATGAATCCTAGCATCAATAATTTTGCAATAGTGATGCTAACCAAATAGGTAATAACTTCGTAATTAGTAAACAGGAAAACATTGGGGATTTTCCGAAATGTGATTTAGCTTCGAAGTCATCATTATCTTTATTAACAACAGGGCTTATTAGGGATATTTTTATCTTCTTCAGATCTTCTACAACCTCTCTTCATCTTTTTCGTTGATTTAAGATAACAAGAAGAAAGATTGATATTTTAATCAAATTAATGTTGCAGGATGTTCTATGGTCCTGGAGGACCATACGCGTTGTTTGCTGGTAGGGATGCTAGCCGAGCTTTAGCTCTCATGTCATTTGAGGCATCTGATCTTACTGGGAACATTGAGGGTCTGAGTGCATCTGAGCTTGAAGTTCTGGAAGATTGGGAAGCTAAGTTTGAGGAGAAGTATGTGAAGGTTGGGCAGCTAGTCTCAGAAGAAACAACATCAACCGGTGTTACCCAGGATCAGACTAAAGTAGAGTAGCTGCATAACTGTAGATCGTATGTACCATTTCAAAAATATAATTGGTTTTATGTGAATTACAAGATCTATGACACTTTGTAACTCAAAACTTGTGTAAAAATTCTGTAACCTCATTTTTGGTTTGTTGGATATATATAATATATATATATATATATATATATATATATATATACTTTGTTTTTCTTCGTTAAACTTGATATCATGCATTTCAGGAAGCGTTTTTGTATGTGGTTATCAGAATTGAAATTAAATGAAGTCTTTACCACATAAAATACAAATTTATTGTTATTTTTCATGTTTTGTTTTTTTCTCTTGCATACTGATAGAGACTGCTTTAAGCTTCAGAATTTTACTGGTTAATTCACATATCTTAAATCAAGTTGGTGCATTATAATTTTAGCTTTGGATAGTATAGGCTCCCATCAGGTAAGAACATTAGTAATCTAAGTGATCCAAACTTTTTTTTATATTTTTAAGGTTATGGGTTATGAACACTTACCATTTGGTACTAATTTTTTGCCTGTTTTGTATGAGGTTTGAACATGTTTTCAGTTATGAACACTTAACATTTGGTACTAATTTCTTGAAGTTGTTTTATGTAGTAAGGCTTATATGAACATGTGAGGGTAAAATGGTCATCTTTTTCAGGAGTGAATTGGTAATGCCTTGAGGAAAGTTTGAAAAGTTGCAGGAACTCTAGAATAAGTTTGGGTTGTATAGTAACTAAACAATGTATATGTTGATAGAAAGTGTATAGTACAACAATTTTTTTTGTGTGGATCGAGCTGAAATAGCAAGCCACTTTTAATATTTATCCAAAATAACAATGTACTTATACTTTTAATAGATGTATGACCATACTTGTCATTTGCAACATAACCAACGACTTACTTAGATTTATGAGCAGAAATAGCAATCCATTTTTCATTTTTTTTTATCCAAAATAGCATTGTACTTATTATTTTTTATAAAATTAGCACTTTTAAGCACATACTTGTCATTTCCAACCGGTAACAACATCCAACTTTCACTATTAACCCATAACAAAATCCTAAATTCATTTTTAACACATAATACCATACTACTTTCATTTTTAACACATAACAACTCCAACTTTCAGTTTTAACCAATAACAACATCCAACTTTCACTATTAACCCATAACAAAATCCTAAGTTCATTTTTAACACATAATAGCATCACACTTTCGTTTTTATCCCATATTAACATCATACTTTCGTTTTTATCCCATATTAGCATCATACTTTTGTTTTTTATAGCCTTTTTAATTTGACTAGGTTTCAACCCTGCTTGTCTGAGTTCCACCGTAAGAGATTTACATTCCATTGAACGGTGGAACTTGCTATGAGATCGATGCTTCATCACCTTCGTTGGTGTCATGCTCAAGTTGTGATTGTGTGTGTCATTAAGCGAGTCCACCAACCATTTCTCGTTTTTTTTTTTTTTTTTTTTTTTTTTTTTTTTGTAATTCGAAGCATTGCTTGGCATCCGATTCTAACATCTCTACGTCGTTTTTTTTCCTCATTTTCACTTGAAGCATTTTTTGAAAACTAAATTTGATCGAAATTTAATCCCAAGTACCGAACTGAATTAACATTACCGATATCAGTACCGGTTTTCAGTACTAGCACCGGTACCAACAATACCGAATCCTGTATTTCGTGATTCTAGAGTACTGAGTACCATCCCATATGTTTAAATTTGGCACAGTTTTGTATAGGTTCAGGTACGAGATCGGGATATGGTACTAACTGCTCTATCCCTAGTCTAAAATCAAGACTTGAACTCCATTGGTAATCTTGTAAATTTCGTTATACTAAAATGGTATGGTGACACTAAGTCACCAACAATATGTATTTATTCCTCATCCAAATTTTGTTTATGTTTTTTTGCAGATTGGTCTTCCTTGCCCAAATAGGATGTCAGTGGACTTTCGGGACTTTTAGGTTGTTAATAGAAGTTTTCCAAGAAGAGAACTTGGGGGTAAGGGTAAGACCATCTCCAACGGACCGACAAATATGTGTTTTGCCGGCCAAAAATAGTCCAACCGACCAGTATCTTCAACACAAAAATGGTGAGATTGCACAGTAACACACAAAAATGGTGAGATACTATTCACAACCGCCAAATGTAATATTTAATATAATATATATTTTATACATAAATAACTCATTTAAAAACAAAAAAGAATGGTTTCAAGACTTCCACTCTTCGTTTTCGATCCGTTCTATCAACATGAATGGGGAAATTAAGAAGATGGCGTGTGTGTTTCCTTGCCTCCTTCATCGTGTCCATCTTTCTTTTTATATTAGGCGACCCTAACTACTAGTTCTTTCAGTTTTCTTATTGTCCCGATTGTTTTTTTGCCTCCTATACCTACTGTTCGTTTGAAAATATGGAGTTCAAAATGGATTTCAAGAAACATATTGGTTATTGAGGTGAACATGATGAAGTGTGGAATGAGAATTGAAAAGGTGAAACAATTAAAATGTAGAGTTTGATAGTTTCAAGAGAACCATGGATGTAGTCTATAGTTTCAAGAAACTAGGAGATCAAGTGGGTTTGTAGAAAAACAAAAGTAACAAATATTTCATAATTAAATAAAAATGAAATTGTTATTTTATTGATAAAAATATTAAATATATGTTTTAGCGGGAGCTTTTAGTGTGTGGTTGGAAGGGAAAAATATTTAGAGTTAGAATTACATAAGTTTAGTGTTTTTTTTAATGTTAAGGTTAAAGTTGGCCTAACATGGGGAAATGGATAAAGGAGTAGGGTGTGGGGTGGACCTATTTCCTTAAAATTATTATAAAAATAAAAGAAAAAACATCATAAATGGTCCCTGTGGTTACCCAAAATCTGAAGTTTAGTCCCCGTGGTTTAAAAATCGCATAGATGGTCTCTGTGTTTTCAAAACTTTTGATGTTTGGTCCTTTTTGCTAACTCCGTTAGTTTTCTACCGTTAAATGAAGGGTATTTCCGTCATTTAACTATCCAGGGACCTTTTATGAGGTTTTCTTTTATTTTATTTTTTTTTAAAAGCAAAAACTAATTAAATTTAATATCCAATAGGTCTCTCTCTCTCTCTCTCTCTCTCTCTCTTACATACACACTCATACCTGCAACAACCTCACCATTTCCTCTTCAATATCCTTGTTCATCATTAACTCCAAATCAAACACCTCCACCGTCCACTCCTCCTGGACCACCGACTGCACCCACCGTGGCAAATCCACCGCCCCACCGTACCCAATCCCACCATGCTCAACAATCGTCGGACATTTCACAGTCAAAAGCTTCAACCTTATCGTCGGCATCCCCCCTCGTTTACTCAACCTCCTGAGGATTAAACCCCACTGCCGGTGAACACACCTCCGATGAAACATCATTCCCTTCAGCAACCCACTACCCTATTATCTCATCCATGAATCGATCTCAAAGAAACCCAGATTGATGTTGATTTTTCCGACAAATCTGAGTCTCCTACCCCTTTCCCTTCAATCGACTTGCAGTCGTCAACCCTTTCATCTAGGTAATGCAGAAGTCGTTCTTGCACCCACCAACTTGATCCACATCAGGTATACACCCTTTAATTCCTCCTTCTCAGATCAGCTCATCTGAATTCAGTTTTGTTGACCTTTTTACAGACACACCTGGACCAAGTTTTCTAGTATGTGCAACCAACAATAACCCATTTAGGTTTGCATCTCTGTGTGTCTTCTTTCTCCCAACCCCTAAATCTTTTCTTCTTCTTCTCTTTAGGATTTGATTGATTCGATTCCATATCTGGGTATCTATCGGGCGAAAACCACTCGCTTCATTTGTTTTTTTTGGTTCCAAATCATCCCAGAAACGAAAGCCACACACGAAATCTGGGATTATTCTGGATCTTGTCCCAAAACAGCCCCTCTTGATGTGTGAATTGTTTGATGCAGGTGGGTATTTGGTGTATAAATAAGAACAAAAACAAGAAGAAGGGAGAAAATGGGAAAGGAAGGGTTCAAAACGATGAATAGTGTTGGGTTTTATTTTTCTGGTTTCTTTGTATGTTTGTTTGAAGAAGGGTTGGGATGTATTTAATTCTCTTCCAGAAATGATTTCAGATTCAAAAAAGAAAAATTGTTCCAGAAACGATTCTGAATTCACTGGTTTGGGGGTTTGTCAATGTAGGAGAAAGGGTGGTGTAACGCCCGGGTTTCGGGGCTAAGCACTTTTAGACGATGTAATAGTCTAGGTCAACTATTTTAACTCTTTTTGATGTAATAAAGATGAAATATTTGAGTATTATGTGAATTTATATGCTTATTATTTAGTTATAAATGTATAATAAATAAGGAATAAAAATAAGCGTCAAAATTAAAGTATGAGATAAACCAGATATCTTTACATAAAGTTATAGTGGTCGAAACAAGGATTCTGGAGATATAAAGAACACCGAAATCCGAGTTATAACAAAGAAGTTATGACCCGTCGAAGTTTCACGACGGAACCGGCACGACACCGGGAAGCGTAAATAGTGAATTTACGATAAAGCGACTTTTAGCCTTAACAATCTAAACGAAAGTCGTAGAATATGTTAAACCGAGAGCGTCCATAAAAAGAACGCCCAAATCTGACTTCGTATGAGGAAGTTATGATTTTTTGAAGTTTCGGCTTAGCGGTGTACAGCCCGATGTTCGAATATTAGATCGAGCGGTTTTTAGCCGACACAACCTAAACGAGAATCGAAGATCTCGTTAATAGTAGCGTAACGATAAAAAGACAGACGAAAACGAAACTCGGATGAAGAAGTTATGAATTTTTAACGGACCAATCCTGTCCCGGCCTGTTAAAAATGTAAATTTAAAATATAGTCAAAATTAGCCGACGGAGTCTAAACGAAATTTGTAGAGTACGTTCCCGCCTACGCGTGGATATAAAGAACGTCGGAAACGGAGCTCGTACGAGGAAGATACGAATTTGTAAAGTTTAGAATCGAATTTGCGAAGCCTGTTGCTCGATTGATGACGTGGCAAGATCCTAGCCGTTGCTTGCTGATCACGCCTCGCTTCGGATGAAGGAAACGTCGCCTTGAATTACGCCCCGCGTCCGAAGTTGGGTACGCCCGGCGTACTT